ACTGTATATAATTGCATAACTTTCTGAACACTTAAGATTGCATATATGGCACCCATTACTTACATGAAGGGCAAGGCTATGGCTAAGGATATCGGCGCCGTTAAGTACTTGGAGTGCTCAGCCCTCACACGGAAAGGCCTTACGAATGTGTTCGATGAGGCCATACGTGCCGTTCTATGCCCTCAGGTCAAGAGTCAGAAATCTTGTGCTGTACAATAACCAGGCACATTCAAATGAGGGACATTATTACTAAATTATATATGTAAAATTATATTGAATTCTTACAAGTTTATTCGTGTAACGAACTATGTTTTATAAATACTGTATTTGTATAAATTATTTATCCATTATTATAGTAATCTCAAATATTTTTAATATAATGGGAGAATATTTTAAGAAAAATATGTTAAGTTTTACAATAAAACAACAAATTACATTAACTAACTTTTAAGTACTAAAGTCTATTACTTTTGATACAGTATTATACTCGATTACAGTGTTGTATAATAATGTAGTAAGTACGTACTACTACTAGAAAGTTATTTCAATTTAATTATTGGTATTTAAGTTAGTTTAAGTTTTCAATATTTATTTATAGTATCAATGAAAATGTCAATCATTAGTTTATGTTAAGGTGTGTGAAAATTTAATTTTTAATTCACATTAACTTAATTTTATTTTAAAATACAATTGTAGTTGTTTTATTAAATGCCTGTATAGTACAGTTACATGAATGGATAGGCTATTTATATATACTTATAATGTATAAACTTAACAATTTCTAACATACAGTTCATCGTTAATAAAATAACTATTTATCAAAATGGATATCAAGCCAGAGGTTTATGAAAAGTTAAATACAGTTTAAAGTCAATCAGCGGATCAAGTGATCCAAGACGTGGTCCACCAAAATAAGTGCCTATAATAGTGACCCAAAAAATGTAACACAAAAACTAATTATACCTCACATTTACAGACACTATAACGTGGTCTTGGATGTCGGGTGCGGAACGGGATATATGACGGAACACTTGTCCAAATCCCTGGCCTATGGGCACCGTGTGATTGGCGTGAATATCGACCCGCAGATGATATCCTACGCCCAACTGAACCACAAAACCGATTCAACCGAGTATTTGGTTCAAGACATGAGTGTCCCGTGGGATGGGTTGAGTGCACCCATTAGGGAACTGGAGTCTCGGGTGGACCTTATTGTGTCTAATATGGCGTTTCAGTGGATTTACCCGAAAAGCCCTTCAGAGGCAATGAAAATATTTAATAGGCTTTTGACAAAATCGGGTCAAATTATAGCCACATTTGGGGTGAATCCCGATTTCTTTGCTTTTTTGACGGACCAACAGAAACGCGAATACGATCTGAACGGACAGACCCTATCCGAGGAACTACAGGTCCAGGACTGGAGGGATGCCTGCGCTGAGTCGGGCTTTGCTATTAAAAAGCTACGCCTCGTGACCGAGGTTTGGCACTTGAAACGCCAGGAGCTGATCGGTTAGTAATTGTTAATTAAGATAAACTATTTATAACTTTAACGTGACTTTTATAGCCATAATTCCCGAGATTTACGAGCTTTTTACTGCAATGACTGAGGCAAAGGCGCCGATAGGTTCACGAAAATATGAGTTCCTCAGGAATATAGCATTAGACCCGTTCGTGACTGAGAGGTCCGACCGACTCAACCCTAACGTCTACAATGAGTTTATCGCCGACCAGTCCATCGGGAAAATAGACTTCAATATCCGCGAAATGCAACTCATTTCTTGCAAACAATAAGATTTAATCAGAAATTATAAAATACAAGAAATATGCTCTTGCATATTTTCAATTGACTTCATTTATTAGATTCATTAATTATATTTACAATAACTATAAATAAGGTAGTTTTTGGCAAAAAAAATAATTATTATATTTTTTTATTACTTTTACTTTTAATTCGATATAATTTCTTATGCAATAATAAACATAATTATTTTTAATATAAAAATATTAGTTTTTAAAATTTCATATTTTTCAATATTTGTTACAATAGTATAATTTACTGAATGTTGAGTATTCTACTACTGTATTATTAAGGCAATAGTGTTATAACAAAATTATCAATATTTAATTTCCACCTAATAATGACTGACAAATAGTTTTGACTGCGAGATAGGGGTCGCTATTCATAGGGTATAACTGGGTATAAGCAAGATCTTTAATTTGACTTAAACTCATTAAAGTGAACCATTAGCCCTTTATTTTAGCTATTTACGCATAAAATTATTAAAAATTTAAGTTTAAAAACACACATTATATACGATTTAATGGACATTTTATTAATAAATAAAGAATTGCCTTGCTTCATACAGGAATAAAACATCACGGTATTTTTTAAAAAGCAGAATATTTATACATTAATTCTATTAAATATAATTTACTCGTTAGATATTAATTTAAACTAATTTACGGAATCATTAGAGAAAAATGAAATTTTTATAATAGAGAAAGTATTTTTATAATTTATTAACACGGTTTTAATTGACAATATGAGAATAATGTCTAGCTACATTAGATAATAAATTGAAAAGCATTGCATTAAGTGTGTAGTCGTCGGGAACCGGTTTAATGACTGATATATACAAGAATTAGTCATAAAAGGGATTTCCTGGAGATTCTCATTCAATTGCATTGCGAGCGTAGTTTTGTGTCACACTTTTGGCGAAACAAATACATTTTTATAATGCGCTAGCACATTTCAGGACTACTTCTTGTTTAGTAGTCATTATCTCATTGAATATCAATTCAAATGAAATTATTTATGTTGTGTTTTAGAGTCAAATAAATAGGCTTTCAAATATTGTAATTATTAATGATGTGCGAGTATTATAAATATTATAAGTATAGTGATTTTTGACTAACTTATTGTAACTTTTTTATATCCCATACCGTTGAAACATTAATAAGTTATTGATATGCAAGCAATTAAGTGTGTAGTAGTTGGTAACGGGTATATATTCATAAATTTTTATATTTAATACATATTTATTATGATATATTTGAAAGTAAAGTATACCCTACTTTGATTTGCACACTTTCACCTTTTTCAGAGGTGTGGGTAAAACATGTCTATTAATAAGTTACAAGACAAACGCATTTCCCGATGAATACATTCCCACCAAATTGGACAACTATTCCGCTAATGTGATGGTCGACGGAAAGCCCGTCAATCTGGGCCTCTGGGATACGGCAGGTCATGAGGAATACGACCGACTGCGGAACCTATCGTACCCGCAAACCGACGTCCTTCTCATATGCTATTCGGTGGTCAACCTTGAAAGTTTTGAAAACGTACGGTTGATATGGTATCCGGAAGTGAGACATCACTGTCCCGACAAACCCATTATACTGGTGGGCACTAAACTGGACCTCCGGGACGACCCCAAAACACTGGACAAGCTTAAGGAGCGCAAAATGGCACCCATTACACGCATGAAGGGCAAGGCTATGGCCAAGGATATCGGCGCCGTTAAGTACGTGGAGTGCTCGGCCCTCACACGGGAAGGCCTTACGAATGTGTTCGATGAGGCCGTACGTGCCGTCCTATGCCCTCAAGTCAAGAGTTGGAAATCTTGTGCTGTACAATAACCAGGCACATTCAAATGAGGGACATAATTATTTAATTATATAAGTAAAATTATATTGAATTCTTACAGGTTTAGTGGTGTAACGAACTATGTTTCATAAATACTGTATTTGTATAAATTATTTATCCATTATTATAGTAATCTCAAATATTTTTAAATATAATGGGAGAATATTTTAGAAAAATATGTTAAGTATTACAATAAAACAACAAATTACTTTAACTAACTTTTCAGTACCAAAGTCTATTACTTTTGGTACAGTATTATACTCGATTACAGTATTGTATAGTAATGTAGTAAGTAGAGTACTACTAGAAAGTTATTTCAATTTAATTATTGGTATATAAATCTGCATATCCCTTACCTACAGTCCTCTCGATATGTCTATTCAGTGTCTCAATACTGCTTTTTATATCTACTGTATATAATTGCATAACTTTCTGAACACTTAAGATTGCATATAAGTATCGCAAGTATTGCATTATAAAGGCAACGGTTATATTGCATATGTTAGTTTACTATGTCTGACATGTCTTGAATTACTTAACACTTATAATATTTGCATTTTTATTAACATGGAAATAAGTGAATGAAATCTAAATCTAAA